CACCAAAATGACTAGTTTTAGCTTGATATATTGAAGATAATATTTGGTAATCGTAGTCCTAAATAACTATTAAAAATAGCTAGACGTTTCGAGCAATGGCTCTTTATCGATAGCATAGAAGCAAGTGTGATAACGTTTAATAGTTATTTAGGACTACGATTACCAAATATTATTTTCAATATATCATACTTATCAGTCCGAGCAGCGTTTATTTATTTATAAACTACTATTAGTTTTAGCTTGGGTTGCTGCCGCTAGCACGGCAGTCGACACCGTGGCTGGTAGAATAAGTTTTTTTTATTTTTACCCCTGTGTCGCCCCCTTTTGTGTGTATTTTTACAACAAAGGAAAAAACTTGACGACGCAAATTTGACCACTTTGTTCGTTTTTAGCTCCGCTGTCGACTTTGTCGAGCAGAGCTCATCATACGAGTGATTGTCCGCCATCGTCTGTATCAATGTTTTACCTTTTAGACTTCTTCTCGAAAACTACAAGCCTGAATGCTTTGATACTTGGTGTGTATGTACCTGGGGTAGACCTCTCTGAGATTTGTTCATTTCATGATGATATCTTTAATTCTCTAATTTTGGTGAATATTTTTGTAATTTTTGGTAAAAAGTGATATTTTCGACTTCTTGTTAAAAACCAAAAGTCCAATTGCTTTGATATTACATATATAGGTACTACATGTACATGTGGACCTTTCTCAGATTTGTTCATTTTGTTCATTTGTTCGCACAAAGGTCGCGCGTCCAGTATGATTGGTGTAAGTGAGTGGTGTGTGGGCATGAGTGGAAAGTCTTCCCACTCGTCTACTGGTGCCTCGTGTACCGAGACGTCGAGTGAGAGAGACGACAGTGGAGGTCCCCCTGTTCCCAGCCCGACTTTCCCGTTTATTGGGATGAAGGCGTGGCACAGGCTAGTGGTACTGGGTCTCCCCGCCGGGACCTCCGACACAGAAAGCCGACGGGGATGCTGGCAGCCATGCCTCCGATCTTGGGGCAGAGCAATCAGATCATGATGTACATTGCACCTCCCCTCTGCGAACAGTCAGCTAGGGTTTGCCATGTGGAACCGGTATCATGAATTTACCCTTAAGTCTGACTTCCGGTGCAGGTATCGACTCCCTTCTTGCCGATCCACAGGTGTTTCCAGAGGGAACCGACCGGGCTATTAAACGCTCAGTCAAACCCGCTCTCGCTCGCATTTTTAAGATGAGGGGAAGCGGTTCGGTCGCGTCAGACACAGTGGAGACGTCATCGGGTGGTCCCTCAGTCATTCATTCGTAATGACTCTGTGAGCCATGCCGTAAGGATGATGCGGAGTATTATCAAACCTAATGACGTACATACCCCCACCCTTGACCCTAACGCAGTCGCTTACTGTTGCTTTGCTGCTCATGGAAACGCAGGTACCAGGAT